TACCATGTCCACCCTAAAAAAAATTCCAACACTCCAATAGATACTGTAATGGATAATCTGAATTATTCATGGCTACATTCAATTCAATGATTTTCTGTAGCCTAACTAGAAAAAAATGTTTTTTTAAACCATTCTAATAATCCGCTTTCCATTAAATCTTTTAAAACGCATCTGCTTAACAAGTTTATACAGTGGGCATGTTGATAATACAAAATATAAAGAAATGCATTAGTATTAGCTAATAATGCTACACATTATGCACATTCATTTTCAGATCTAATTGATTTTTGACCTTAATACTTAGTTTAGTTGGATTAGACTTCAGTCCGCGATCCAAATTACAACATTCGAGGTAAATAAATAGAGCACATTGTCAACAGGCAGAAATACTATTTCCCCCGTTCTCTCTATGTGTTTTCACTGCATATCAGTGTTTGATCTTGCAAAGGTTTGACTGAAAGCTTCAGTCAAAATGAAAATGCATTAAACGGCAAACATTTGTATACAAAGTTTCAGTTCTCTTACTGTAAGGTAGTGACTGCCATGTTTAATTCAAACAGATCAGTTAATCCATCTATGCAAAAAGCCCAACCTGTTATTCACCACAGTGAGAAGTACAACCATAAAATCTATGAAAGAAATGGGACAACATAAGAGAGACCAAATGACACGTATAGGAAGTAAAATGGTGACAGGAAGGCGGCTGAGAGAGAACAGGTCTTAGCTTGATAAGCTCAGTGCTGCTGACCTACATAATACAGAGATAGGTGCCTTCCAATATCTACTTATTAATTCTGGCACATGTATAGAAGCTGTTTAAAAATATATAATGCCCTACGGAAGGACAGAGTGCACTACATTCACAGGCATTCTTCAAAAGAACCAAAATGAAACACATTCAATCCAGTCTTACACTTAATGTCCTAATAACTTTGAGCATAGTGTAAAATATAACTATTTAAATTAATTGTTTCTTTTTCAGTTACTTCAGATGTGGTTTATCTCAAGCTAAAGAAAAGATGACCAGGGTGATTACAGGATTTCCTACATGGCGGCTGAAAAACATTCAAATAGGAAAACCCTCATAAAATGCCTCCACCATGATGGAAACTATATTTAATAAAAGAAAACACAGCCACAACAGAGACAATAAGATGGTTTATAACTGGGAAAGGCCAGTGAAAGGTGATTCTTAGGAAGAATTTTGTGAAGTCTGTTGGAATCAGCGTTAAATTTGATATGAGGACCACTGTGTGAAGCGACGCTGTAAAGGTGAGTTAAAAAAGAAACAGCTGTGTTTGTCCCACATTGTCCCTTATAAGCATCCTTGTTGTCCCACATTTCTTTTTCTTTTTCAGATGTTAAATCTTAAAAATATATATATATATAAATAGGGTATAAAAAAAACAGGATAAAAACAACAAAAATTACAAAGTAATAATAATCATAATAATAATCACCTAAATACCTGCTTACACTTCAAGGAAATGGCAGTGGCAGTTTTTTTTCTTGAATTGAGCAGGTAGTGAGGTGCCAATGGAATAAGACTATTACATTTTAAATGAGGAAAACAAACTTATGAACTTCTTACCTGCTGACCTCAGACTATAAAGCAGTTCAGAAATGTGAGGGAGACCTTGGCATTGCAAGAAATCAAAAGTTACGGTCAAGATTTCAAAATGTATGATGGGCATTATACGATCCAGCTTATCTACTTGGAGAGGTTGGAGAATAGTTAGAAACAACAGGAATTCAGAAGAAGATAAAAAAAAAAAAAAAAAAAAAAGGTATGGACACAAGAATAAAAAAACATCCATCCATCCACTTTCCGTCCCGCTTATCCCAAGCCGGGTCACAAGGGGAGCTGGTGCCCATCTCAAGCTGTCGGTGGGCGAGAGGCGGGGTACATCCTGGACAGATCGCCAGTTCATCGCAGGGCAACACAGAGACAAACAGGATAAACAACCATTCACACTCACACCTAAGGAGAATTTAGAGAAGTCAATAAACCTAAAAGTCATGTTTTTGGACCGTGGGAGGGAGCCGGAGTACCCGGAGAGAAGCCAAGCTGGAACCCTGGAACCTTTTTGCAGCAAAGCAGCAATTCTACCCACTGCTCCACAGAGCAGCCCAGGTTTTAAAACAAAGAGTAAATGGATGCTATTGAAAAAAAGGGGTTGCTACTTGAGAGACATTGCAGAGAAGTAAGAACCACATCTGACACATGCATACTGCAGAAAATGCTTTGCAGCTTGAAAGACAAACATAGCCAAGTACTGCTAGTCTACGAAGCCGTCCTCATAACCAGATATAGTATCCTTTAATTTTTTTAGACTGTAATAAAAGACCATGCTGATTAATTCAGCAAACAATGCAGTCATCATGCAGTCTTCTCTCAATGTTGATCAAGTTTTAAGTCCAATTATAAGGAAAAAAATGCATCAAGTATTTGTGTGCTTTCACAGCACAAGGGAATTCAATCTTAGAGCATAGGCTGAAACAGCCTTCTAATTGTTTAATGATCAGCCTGATATATAAACAATAAAATGCTTTATATTGCACCAAAGTCCCATGTTTACTTGCTTTGATCCCATTATGTAGCAGCCAATACGTAACATCACCATTTGTATAAGTCTCTGAGAAGACTGAGCAAAGAGCCTGAGTATTTTACGATGTCCTGATCTTAGTGCTCAACATAGATGCACAATTTTCTGACACGTTTCTTATGAAAACAAAGAATGATACAAAGATCTGGCTTTTTAGTGGCTTGTTTTTCTGACAGTAGGCTGACAGGAAAGGGGGTATGAGAGAGGGGCAGAGACACGCAGGAAAGGACCACAGGTCGGAATCGAACCCAGGTCGGCCGCGTCGAGGACTGAGACCACTGCACCACCTGCCCTTCCAAGATCTGGCTTTAACCCAGCATACCTCAAAAAAAGTCATAACAAGTAGCGTATATATTGGTCTGTCGGTTTCTTAATTTATGGGGACAAAAAGAAAACTAGTCAGGAAAAAGGATATTCCAGTCATGTGTGTCACAATAAATTGTTTACCTACTATAAAATAGTTTCTCTTGTAATTTCTTAACTTTTATTAATAATATCTTAGTCAAGTCTGAGGGACGTATTTTAGCATTTATAATAGCAGTATTCAGATGCAGTCACATGAACAGCATAAGAGATCAATATCAGCCCGGAGCGGTGTTCAGTATGGGATCTAACCTACATAATAATCTGTAATCTTGAACATAAAATCCTGCAGACAGTCATTGAATGGCCGACAACAAGCCCCTCATCAGCACAAAGCATGCAGAAACCACCACTTAAGAACAGAACAAAAAAGAAGGATTACAGCCATGAACTGTTACCATGCAATCAGAACAGCGTTACGCATGAGATGCGCTCCGTTTACTAAGAGGGTGAATGCACAGAGGACAACAAGATGAATGGTTTCCATGAGTGTCTATGATTATCAACTGACTTGCCAATGAATAAAACTGAGAACTGCAACTGAGCTGCAGGGAAAGGTAGCACGGAGAGGCTGCTGTAGGAAATAGACTAAGCCCTTATTGCATTTCAAAACTCAAGTTAGTTTCATGCTAATTATATTACACAAATCCTCTAAACAGCTTAACTAGACACTGGTGATTCCATTTAATAAGATGAAAAAACATACAAACAGTTCCTTATGAACAGTATCTTACATAACCAACGTAATCCAGTGTTCCCTGCAGATTCATCTGTACACAATCATACGATTCAAGTCCTTCAGGATGAGCATGAAGTACACAAACGCAGCAGTCATTGCCTTCTTTTTATGAAACTGGGACCCACAATCAGTATCCAATATTGCCAGTTTCTTTCCACTTTAAAATTACATGTTTTCTGAATTCCACAGCCTCACCTGCGACATAGTACAGCAATTAATTATTATTTCTTCACCAGTGTGTGCTTTTTACACAGGACAAGCCCAGGCCAGGGCCTGCTGAACAACATGTACAATGCCTTAAGGGGTGGTTACAGCAAATATCTGCATGACGTCACACACAGCTGAGGACAAAGCCCACTGCTTTCTCCCAGACAGAGAGAGAGGAAAAGAGAGAGACAGAGAGAAAGAGGTGGGGGTGGGATCTTCATGCAAGGTGTGAACTTTGCTGCTAAAATGTGAATGTGCACACTGTGTTAATATGCATGTGAGATAAACTGGTGATACAGTTGCATAAATGTGAGGCAGCTGCATGATTCCCATATGCATGTGTGCTATGAGGGTGAGATTTAAAGCATGTGTGCACTTCTCCTACACTTATCTGCAAAAAAAGAGGCAGTGCAATGGAGATAAAACTTTTAATAATGCAATAAAAGGCTAATCAATAATAGATTTTGTAAACAATAATACAAGATCTTGGTGCCTGCCTCAGTCCCCTTGTTCACTGCATGATGCAACCCAGCTCCCAAGTGCAATCAAAGGGAACAACACACCCACTGATGTGCTATTCCACCTGCTCAGTTGCACTGTTTAGCCTGAGGTATTGTTTTACAGATACCTTGCATGGCTTGTTAATCTTTTTTTTTTTCTTCCTTTAACTGTGTCTCTAGATGTGCAACCCATGCTTAGAATAAGAGGATCTGCATTAACACAATCATTTCCATGACAAATACACAGTCCTAGAGGGCGATCATGACATTTGGATTAGTTTTTTTAATGCAAACGAATAAAAAAAGTGCAGAGCAAACAGACAAAGCGGGGGAACGCCCCCTTTCTTAATCCTGCAAACTACTCCCTAGATTATCAGATGTCTCTAGCTGGATTCCAGCCATTCCTTCACCTGATTCTTAAAAATAATCCCGAATGATAATCCGGGAGGGGATTTCATCCAAAATGACCGATATGACGAGTTTAAAAACCAAAAGCTATTGTCTTCATTTCCTGTAGACACTCCAATACAGCGCAGTTAAATGACAACCAGGAAACCAAATTAGAAGATGGTTGTGGTTACAAACCTGAATAAAGGTGGAGGCAGGGAAGCAAATTCAGTCAGACAGTGAGGACTGACGCATTCCTGTCGTCTCGGAGTTTGGCCTTTTTGTTTCCTCTGCCGTGCTGGCTGCAGCCGTTGCCACTTGGAAATGGAAGCCAGAAGTTAACCGTGTGAGCCGCGGAGGCGAAGGGTGGAGATACACGGACACTTCTTGAACCACGTCTTGTCACACGTCTTGTTTGACTTAGCAGGCTACATCCCTTCCTCTGTGTGCGTTTAATCTTGTTTGGAGTGTGTATTCGCAGCTGTTTTTCCTTGTTGCAACCTTAGCTTGAAATTCCTACTGTCTCTTTAAACGACATTTCCGGGATTCGCTGACATCTAAAAAGGAAGGCGGGGCTTAGTGGCCAGCTGGGCAATTTCCATTGATGCGATTGGCTGTTTGTAAGCCTCTTAACCAATCAACGTCCAGCCGCTATGTATTTTCAAAATATGCTAATTTATTCATCGATAGCGCATTGTGATAGGACTGTGGATTAGTTGAAGCTCCATCCACTACACGTGCTTTTCTCCCCTCCCAGTCTGCTATGGCCAACTGAAATAACTTGATATTTAATATTTAACCACAGGATTTGGGGAGAAAAAAGCTAAACGGCGTTACGTTCTTTTTTTTTGCAGCAACTCTAAAAGTAAGTTTACTTTTATCACATTGATTGCTAATTTGTTCTGAATTAGTGTGAGCCATGTTTCAACAGAGCTAAGAATATATCAGCTGCATCCCTACAGTGCTTTGCAGCTGCAGTCACTGCTTCCATGTTAGCACTGGGGCCTTTGTCATCTCCTGCCATGTTAATGAAACAGCAAAAGGCAGAATTGCCTGCAGGCCTATTTAACACTGCATTTTATGATAATAATTGATCTCACACTGAAGACATTTACATCTGCATTTAACCCATCCCCTTGGGGAGTAATGGGCTGCCATTGTGCGGCGCCCGGGGAGCAGTGTGGGGTTAAATGTCTTTGCTCAGAGATTGAGAGTGGCAGTCCGTGGGAGAGGGGCTTGAACTCAGAACCTCAGGATAACAAGGACAAACCCCAGAAAATGGATTTATACCTAAGTCGCACATCAGAACAGCAGATAAAGGGATAGATACTACTTTCAAGACTTACATAACATTTTCTTTACTGACCTGAGGCTGGAGGTGTGAGACACTATTAAGAGCTACCTAGCATTACAGTTGGGAGGTCTTTTGATAAATTCAGATCCATAGATTAACAGGTGATGGCTAACCCTATGGGGTACGGAGAAAGTGGGAAAAAAGGTATGTGAAGAAAAAGTTATGAGTTTTTATGAACTACCACTGAGATCCCAGATGAGAAGAGCATGTTTAGAAACAAGAAGTTAAGATACCAAGTAAATTTCTCAAACTCCAAAGAAGTGGAACTACACTTGAAATATCAGTGTGCTAAAACGGATGTCAGTATGTGTATATATATCCTATTCCTATTATATGAGGCCATCTTTGTTCCAATTTTCTATATTTAAAATGTGTTTTTATAGTACTAAAATTATGATACAAAATCCCATTCCACCTTGACAAGTCAACTTTATAAGGCTTTACACCATATATTCTTAACAGGTAACTGGTGCACAACATATTGAATTTTTAAAGTAAAACATTCATCAAAAGATGATCAATATTTCCTTTGCAACGCTGACACCTTTTTTTTTTTTTTTTTTTTTTTTTTTACAGTAACTTTTCTTTGTTGGCATGCGCCCCCTGCTGTTCATTAGAAATAACCTTGCGTTTAAAGTCTGGGACTTTAAAATTCCCAATTCAATTTTAAAGTGTAGAGCAACACAAAAGTCTTATAAAAAGCAAGACAAAGCTTCTGATTCAACATAATGTTTCAAAGCTTTTCATTATAATACAAATAACTGTATGACAGAAGGCTACATGTCATCTTTAACTAAAGCGATGGTGCTTTATTGGTCTCAGCACTGCAAGAACTTTTTTTTTTAACAAATCTTGAGAATAAAGAAATTTTAGCAGTAAAAAAACAGCATGTATTTTTTTTAACCTTATTTCTTTTGCATGGAATAAAGTTTTAAATATCAGAACTAGAATGATGTTCAGTTGTTTTTGTTTTCTTTGATCCGTTTGTGCCATGTTCCCGCTTCCGCTTTTGTTTATTCTTTTGCCCTTCTTCTTGTCTGAACTGGTGCCTGTTGGGGACAAAAACAGAGTATTTAGTCATTATAGAGTAAATTTTAAGAGATTAGAATCAGACTGGATTAAACAATGCAAAGTTGAGTGATTAAAGGTCTCCTAAAATATTAACAAACACAATTCAGCATTTTTACCAGCTGCAGTGGGCGAATGTTAGAAAAGCAAATTAATGAATGCTGGTTATGGGTAAACTGTGAAAACAGCAGAATGAACCAATAAAACCACGACTTTGTGTATGATACATTATGATCTTATATCAAAGTAGGCAGAAATGAAAGAAAATATATTTTAAAGCAACAATTATTTCTTTTAGATAGAAATAAAAAAAATAATCTCCAGACTATTGATGACGAGCCAGGCAGGCTGTGTCTGCGTGTATGTCAATGGGGACAGCTGCCAATCGGACCTCAGGTCCTCCCATGCTTATAAAAACCATCGAGAGCAGAGTAGCATAGGAGAAAGTTGGCGGAGAGGGCTCATTGGATTGAAAAGCTCACCTGAAGATGATCATTAACCAAAATGAGGTTTCCGTTGCTAACACAGATATAAAGTTTTTAAGTTCTTCACTAGATATGTGCCTCTGAAAGGTGAAGAGGTGCAGCTTAGGTGGAGGTAGAAGGAGGAGTCAGTTTTTATGCATCCTGCTCAACAGCCCAGCTAGAGGGGGAACTTTAGATTGTTGCTCCTTTAAGAATAGTTTGTTCTTACCAGAATTTAAGTTCTCAATAATTCTACCACACAAAGCTTAACATATTACTAAAAAAAAAAAAAAAAAAAAAAAAAAAAAAACACACTGCTGTAGCTTATTTATGAAAGGGGCCAGCTAAACATTTTTATCTATAAAACATCTCCAAAACAGCTCAAACTTGTCCAAGACCTCATAAAAAAAATATCTATTTTTGGACACAAATTGCTTTAGTTGTCTATTTTAACACTTTCATTTTGCCGAGGCCTATCTCTTTTTTTTTTTGGCAAAAGGAAGCATCCAACTTATTACATATAGTTATTGCAGCTTCTTGGTATGTTTTCTTCTTCTTTATTTCCCCCAATAAAGCATCAACATCCACCAGGAGCAGTAATACTTTCATCACAGTAGAACCTACCTGGACTGCCAGCGCCGGCCGCTGTTCCACACTCTCCCAAAAGAAGGAAGCCAGTTGGCGTCTGTATGAGAGCTGTGATCGAAGTTAGCTCCTACTCTGTTTGGAGGAAGCTTCCTTAGTTTCTCTTGCTCCTCTGCCAAAATAGATAATAAATCTGTTGTTACCAAGTAGTTTGGCAGGTCTAAAGTACACAGTTATAATGCTCATATAAATGCAGACCTCAGGATTTTTATAAGACAATTTGGTTATGTCATCATAAACTTCTTAATGCAACTCCTAAAACATAAGCTTAATACTTTGTTTGAGGAAATCTTGGAGTGACGGTCCGATCTCAGTCTGTGTCGCTGCTCCAGACGTTCCCTCTAGTGGATCATCTTGGAGCCAAGGTGGAACAGCTCCTACAACAGAGAGTGTAATGGTGAGCAGCAGAAATGATAATACACTAGACTCGATCATTTTAATTAATTATTCCAAAAAATTTTCGAGTCAAGAGCCATGTCGAGTCAAGCCATGATTATTTTGTCACAGTCTGATTATCATCAGCGGAAAAACAAAAAAACAAAACAACTATCAGCAAAAGGTTTTCATCACCACAGACAAAATTAGAAAAACAAAATAGAAACTGCTTAAAATTTGAACATAGCGTATAATCTTTCCCAGTCAGCTGGAAAGCAACAACCTCTTCCATTTTCTGCCTTACCTTCTGAATCCAGTAAGGGTCCACTTACTTTCCCCCTCTATAGTGTTAGACGGAGGTTTCTCTTAATAAGCCCCACAAGGCAAAAAAATGTAGTCATCATGACCGTTAAAACATTTCCTTTAAAGCTACAGTGTATAATTTTCAGCGACATCTAACGTCCAGACTGCA